TGACGTTCCTAATTCTTAATTTACCCGAAGGTGCGATGATTTGAATTAGGCCAATCAGACAGGGCGTAACAAACCCCATTCGAATGCCGATGTCCGAAGTTCTCAACCGTCGCGGTGCCTGGATACCGAGCTCAGGCAGATTGAGTGGCCGCGTGATTCATGGTCTCGAAAGTCACGCCGTGGGGCTCAACACGGCATTGAAGGTCTTGATCTCAACCGAGACTTCTCTGAGAACATGATCCCAACGACAAAAATCCTCATAGAATGGCACCACAAGATGATACTACAGTGAGCTGATGAGGTGGGCTCAAGAGCATGTAGCAACAATCGTTTTGTTTTGATAGCCCTGAAGCTTTCTGAAGCAGTCTGGGCGGTGTGTGTGTTGTACGACATATTATGGGATGGGACGGCGTTGAACGAGCGTATGAAAGTTTCCAGTTAGGGACCTAGCCCAGAATAGAAGCTTGGGTGGCCTCGAGATTGAATCGAGGACAAGAAATATCGAAGGTATAACGGACCGAGTGTGAAAAGTTTTGAAAAAGGGTAGAAGTAACGGTATGGGCAGAGTTGTCGATTTGCAGTGTTCTTCACCAATCATGAATCAAGTAATGAGTAATTTGATTGTGAAAGGCACAGAGGAACATACCCAAGAAACCAGGAGCTCGCACCCTTTTTAGCTGCTTGGCAATCTGACCAGCGGCATTCAAACATCTACGATGTCCACCATTCCTAGCGGCCATATGACTTGGAGGCTTCGCAGGCCAACGAAACTGAGTCACCCTCATTGCAGTTGTGGGGACGCGGGCCCAGGGGGTATGAGGTGCTGGATGTCGTACATCGATTGATTCGTGCGATTCGTGAGTACCCTGATCTTTTTCTACTAAGTTCATTGATGCGCATGAGAGCTCGCTAAAAGATAAACCCAAGGACAACTGAGCGTACCTGCTGATTGCGAGCATATACTTTAATAGACCTGCTTCCCCTTCGTTCAGACATCATCTCAAAATGGGCACGTTCTCAAGAAATCTAGTCGCCGTAGCTCCAATCAAAGATCCGTTCAGCACAATAGCTCTACTGGCTGACGCCACCGAGCATACTTTTGGCTCAAAGGTTGGACGAATGGGGAGCAAGTCAAGGGTGTTTGCGAGTTGGCTGGAAGTGTGTTAGCTGGAATCACGAAAGATGACTGTCATGTTGAGTCACGCACCCTATCAGGTGTCAGTCATCTTGTCAATCATCTAGCCACGGCAGAGTATCCTGGCTCTGAGCAATTCAAAAGAGGCTTGGATTGGTGGTCGTGGTAGGAAAGGAAAAGAATATCAAGTTACGTCATCCGGAACGATTCATTAGGGGTCCGGGCCGTCCTTACCCGCCCAGGTCCCCACAATGGAGGACCAAGCCACGCACGTAAAGGACTACAAGCCAGACAATCATATAAGGACTTCAAAGTAGGTTAGGGAAGCATTTTCATCGATACCCAGACTAGATCTCTTTCTTTCCTGTTCTGAACAAATATAACCAAAAGAATGCACAGAGAACCAGTATTCTACAACCGGTCGATGAATCTACACCTGAATGGCTCTGGAGCGCAACTAACAAATGTTCATAAATAAGTTCAGGCCGACGAACCTGACCAGTCTTGGGGTGTACTCGACCTTGGGGTCGATTTCGTTACCATCCTCGTCAAGGGGTCTTGCGATGGTATATGTCGCGAGCAAGTGGGCCATAGCAATCCAGAGAGAATTCATAGCCAGATGTCTGCCGGGGCAAATCCTGTATATAGCATATGTGGTCCTCAAATCCGCTCCACTTTCCAGTAAATAACTCACCTCCGGCCAAATCCAAAAGTGATGTACGCGGGTTCGGGTGGAGGTACTCTGTCCCCTCGTTGTAAGAAGCGGGAAGGGTCAAATTCCATTGTGTTTTCGCCAAAAAGCTCTTCATCATGCATGATAGCCCTATGTTCCGTGGTGGATAGTTAGAGCTTTAGGGGAGATTCAGCAAAAGGGTTCAAGAGCGATGAATCACCAGATGTTCGGGACAATGGTCGAATCTGATCGAATTCAGGACACGGGACACGGAATTTTTCAGCCTCAAACTATAACCAACCTTTCGGAATGTGAAAACCCTCGTATACATCGTCATCCATTGACCGGTGAGGAACACCTTTCCGTCAGATTCAAGTGAGGTTTAAACAGTGAGTAGGAGTTGTAGATACACACACCTAACGGAGTTACAGGATTCCATCGCAAAACCTCGGAAAGAATTGCGCCGACAAGAGGCAAAGAGTCCTTATCCTCGAAATCTGGTAACCTCGATGTCCCGACACGTGCTTGAATCTCTTTTTGTGCCGCCTTCTGAATCTCTGGATGAAGAGTCATTGCGAGAATAAAGGAAAGAAGCGCAGATACGGTCTAGAAGGAAAATAATCATTATAACTGAATTACGAGCATATCGACCGGTCGGACTTACCGTCTCGGATCCGGCTATTTCACAGAAGTTGGCATTGAGTACAAGAGGCTAACGCGTCGAGAACTCCAGACAGATGGTAGCATACCTTGATAAGTAACCGCCGCGCAATTTTGTGCGACTTCTTCCATCTGCGATATCTCTTCTTCGGGACCTGGGTGGATAATGTTGAAATTCTCGATACATTGGCTAGCAAATGACGGTTCTGCAGTCCCCTTTGCCTGGTTGTAAGTAAGAGTTGTAGCTACCGGTAAGCACGCAATCTTCGGTGGTCAACTGCATAACAACACACTTGAGAATCAATCAACCATTCCCACGGGCGTTTGACGAGGTCATCGGAAAATTTGGCCCACACCCTCGCTTTGGCCTTGAATGATCCGCCAGGTAGCCATTCTGGGGCAATTCAAACGAATAGTAACTCAATTCCAGTCGTTCAATACAATCCTGGAATCATCACGCACCAGGTATAAGCCTCATCCAAGGTAGGTATTCCATAAGAAAGGCCGCTGGCACGGCGGTTTGCTTCATTCCTTCGCTCGCATCTCGCGCTAACCTCACATACGGGTCGTTATCTTGCTGAAGCTTGTAACCGTAGGCGATATCCAGAACAATCGAGCCCGCAAAACTATACGGAGCATGAGTATTCCCAGTTCGGGAGCAGATCAAGAACTGGAAACTGACTGCTCCACATGCTTAAAAAAAGCTTCGGGAGACGAACGGAGGTTATCAATCAGCGAAGCGGATGCAGCCTTTTGGATTCCATAGTATTCCGATACGATCCGCGGCTTGAAGAACTGTTGGAAGGTTTTGCTATGTAGTCTAATGATAGAATTATAATGAGCGACAGGAAGCGCTCGAGACCAGATGCATCATATTCTCACTTCCATTTGTCCGAGTATCTCATAACTGAGGACGTCAGCGGTCATATCCGGCGACGGAAGTCAAACGTGCTTACAGCCGAAATTCCAGGTCCATCTAGAATTGTAAGGTCTCAGACCAGAAATAAAGAGACATATAGGTGAGCAACTGACCGTAAGATCCTTGTCATCACATAAAAATCTGATCGGAATCATCGACCCTATAGTTTGTCCATTCACTCATCCGAAATTGAAAGATACTCACCAGGACGATCCGAATAGTTCGACGACCTCTTCTCGAGCAGCTCGAGAACCGCTTTGTACGAGTTCAGGATGACTGTTCCGCTTCCAAAGATATCGAAGTAGATTACGTCGCCGTAGGTACGTGACCATTTCTCGTATGTTCTCCAACTCGGTTCGGTGCTATGTTTCGAAATCTCAAGCAAACTCCCCAGCAACGGCAGTCTCCTAGGACCAGGAGGGAGAGGCATTGCTTGGCGTTGTTGCCTGAATAGCGGGATCAGCGCGAGCGGGAGGAGCAGAACGGCGTAGTTAAGAAGGGGAGACATGAGGGAAGGTGGGAACGACTGCGTAGACCTTGCTTGCGAGTTTATAGTGTTTACAGAGGGCGACAGGATCAATTGCAGGGATAGTTCACGTGGCGAAAAACTTGGGGAAAGAACCGAAGAATGAATTCCAATCCGGTATGGACTGTTGCCAAGGGGGAAAAGGTATGTATGTGCATCACTTCTTTGACCCCTGTGGCGTTTCACCTTGGCAGCGGCACAAATAATCGATTATAGGATGGCACAACTTGGGAAGATGAGATATATGTGAAATCAATAAAGAAGGGTAGAGTGAGGAGAGGAGATATGAGCAGAAGCAAATCCGCTTCAAACACCTCCGAGTCCACCCTAACCATCTTCAAATCCGCCCCAAACACCCCCGAATTCACATCAAACATCTCCAATGCCGCATGAAACACGTCTAAAGCCCTGCAATCACCCCTCGAAAGCACCTCGCCCTTTCTCATAAAATGTCCGAAACATCCACCGAATGGGCGGAGCCACCGTCTACGTTCACCAATATTTTTTCTATATCTACACCCCACGAAATGGGTGCCAACCTCTTAGCAAAGGGCTGTAATTAAGGATCATCATGAATTCAAGCGTTCCACAACAGAGAAAATGTAGCTCCTGGCTAGAGAATAAATGGGTGACTTATTAGCACGTCCCACGAGCTTACTGTTCTCATTGTCGGGTTCGGAACCTGGCTTGAAGTGCCAAGTCGCTGATCCGCCGGTATGTTTCATCTGAGGGGACCGTGATTTCCTATCGTCGACCAGTTACGGTGACATGGCGAGAAGAAAAACCTTTGCGAATGCGTGATGATGATTGAGGTCTTTCGGACCAGACGATCCGAATGATTGACCTTTCGGTATAAGGCGGTAGGTCCCGGAACAGCGAGAATCTTGCAACGATCTCTAAGAAAATATCACGACACCGTGTATAGTACGTTGAGACAGTAGGGAAGTAATAGAGTATGTGATAGGTTTAGGGGAGATTCAAGAAGCAATCTATAGGCCCTTCCCCTCCAAAACTACGTCAATCATCTCAATTTGTTTGGCTTCTTCTCGCGCAAATAGTACTCGACTGACATATTCTGATCATGGCGTCCGATGTGGTGTAGTGGCTAACATTGCTGTCTTTCAATTGCATCTACTGGAATCCACAGCAGCCCGGGGTTCGATTCCCCGCATCGGAATAATACTTTACTCTACGTCTCTTTTTGTCCTGCCCGGTGATTTCTTCCTCACTTTCCTGCTTGGTACATGAGTCATCAATTCTGCGATTTGCAAGACCTAGTTACGTATGAGTTTATATTTCACTGCCCCCCGTGAATCAATTTACCGCGGTGCTTGTGAGCGTGAGTAGCTCGCATTTAAAAGACTCAGTCAGGCCAAAACATACTCAAGCGTACGAGTCTACCTTCACCTACCGCCCCGACACCCCTCCGAGCGGCTCAGTATCATGCAATTTCTGGCGTCAGGTGCTGTGTGTGAGGCCGGTGCGTAAATCTATCGATTTTTATCTGATTCTTAACTTCTATGTACCTTGAGTACAGCTCAAGGACGAGTGAAGAGGGGAGTCCTCGCCCCGACGAAGATCAGCAAACTTTGCTGAGGTATTTTTTACACAGCACAGAGTCTAGTTTCACACAAGATCATAAACATCGACCAAAGACATACGTATATCCCCGTTCGAAGCTGCGTCTTACTTCAAGCTGAGGAAAAGGGAAATCTTCGGTCTTAGATCTGACTGGCGTCTTCGTGTTTGATTTAACACATTCTTTTTCGTAGCATCCGATGTGGTGTAGTGGCTAACATTGCTGTCTTTCATATTCATCCACTTTCGGGGTCCACAGCAGCCCGGGGTTCGATTTCCCGCATCGGAACGAGGCGCGACTTTGTTTTTTGTCCCTGTGATTCTTTCCTCACTTTCCGATGCTTGATGTTTGAGTGATCAAACCTACTTAGATACAAGAGATAGACGGCTGCAACTCACTGTTCCCTGTGTTTGGCGCTCGTGAAGGTGAGAGGCCATGAAAGACTCAGAAAGGCCGAAACGCCCTTTCGCCGTCCCGAACCCCCTCCGAACAGCCCAGCATCCTGCGATTTTTGAGATTAGGTGCTTGTGCGTGAGGCCGCTCTGCCATGAAACGCAATGAAGGTCGGGCCCGGTACGATGTGCTATCTTTCTAGTTATATGTACCTCAGTGAGTGCCCCTTGAGGACGAGTGAGGAGGGGACTTCATTGAACACCGACAAGAAGACATATGTATACCAATCGAGAGCTAATCGTACACACGCTGACATTTTTTTTGTATTTACTTGTTTACTGATTGCGAGAATGTTTCGGGTTTTCAAGCCTTATACAAATCCAATAGCGAATCCATCGTCGTAGCACCTGGGATGAATCGGGCTGGTACTATCCATCAGAGAGCCGATCAAGCAGCCCGGCAATTGAGACCGGCGGTTCCGAGAAAAGTGATTGGTCCTGGAACTGAGATAACGCAGGTCGTCAGAGAGACCCACTGAGTTGGGACACAATCTTAGAGGCCTTACTGAATATGGTGGATCCGCAGCACGCTGCCTGACGGCCCGCGGGGCTGATAAGAAAACGTAAGTATCTTTGATGGAAACGAACGAGCACAAAATACTCACCAAGAATCCCCCGGACCTGAAGGATCGCAAATTACTCCAATATTGAGGGTTGGTTCTTGAGTCTTTACACCGAGAGCTTCGAGGACAAGTTGAAGGGTAGGATCGAATCCCGAGACGAGCTGGCGACAGCAAAGGCCAATTTGGCCCGCCGGGCATGTCACCCTCGGAAGAAGCTTGGCGGGCGTCGCTACCGCAGCCAGGCTAGAGAGAATGACGGGCGTGAAGAGAGCAAGATTGAGTTTCATGATGAAAATGCTTGAACATTGTCGCTCGTATCCGGTGCAATGAGGTTGAGAGCAGTCTTGTCCACCCTTTTATACATTTTTGTGGGAACGGGTAGGGCTAAGGTGTCTTATTTTGGTTCAATATGGAGTCCAAGGTTCAAAGCTAGCCACCGTGCTAATATCTACGAACGTACTTAGGTTTGAACTATAAAATGAATGGTTGAAATTGTCGGGTCAAAGCTACGGCGTTGTGAGAGGTATGAGTCTTGGAGCAATCAGACTAGTGAAGGCGACGAAGAAGAATGCGGGTGCCGGGAAGTGACAGGCGTCTTGGCTTCTGGAGGTTCGAACCATCCGTACGCATGAATCAACGCGCTAAAAGTCCAGAGAACTATTGAACGGGTCTTATTGTGCGGCACACGCATCGCTTCGGCTTAAACTAGTACGCTTTCATGCCGAGGTGTTTCCCCTGTCCCTAGAGGAGTGAGTACTTCAGTCCGTACCTCGGAATCGTTACTGTTGCTTGTAGTTGATAGGACGAAATTGGGACGAGGAGGGTCATATCAGCTTTCTCTGCTCTTCTAAACACCTCCAAAGGATATCCCTTGCTCCGGTGAAGTCCAGAATCCGATATCCCAAGCTAAACACCGCAATTTTTGATTGCTATCGTCCTAGAGCATCCTCACACCTGGATCATGATTGGATGATTTAGTTTGACAAGTCTGCGGCGGTGTGAGAGAACATGACACGAGTTTAGAGCGAACAGTTAAGGAAAAGTAAAGGATAAGAACGCAAGAAGTGGCGAGCCGCCCCCAAGCCACTCCTTGCCCAAGCTGTAACGGAATAAGAGAACATGCCATAGTCCTATAACTTTATAACGATTATCAAATGAGGAAAGGTGAATAATGCAAGCGCGGCCAGTGGTGGCCGTTCTGGTGCATAAGATATTTGTGATCTAATCTGTCAGATACATGAAGAACACGGCTCAAGTATAGTAAGCCCCTGTGTCAATCAGAGCCTCTCTTCCAAAAAGGATGAAACTTTCTGTTCTCACCTGTCCAAGACTGAAGACCCCCAGAAATTTGCAACATCAGATAGTTTGTGACACTTGGGCGCTGATCGTGATCTGCCGGTCTGGTAATCCAGAGATATTGATGCTGAGTTGATGCGCGTGGTCCCCTCCTCCCTGTTGAGCACGTCAATACAGTTAAGGTGCTTTCGCAGCAAGAAGACGTGTTAGAAGCTCAAAAGAGCCCTTTGGATCCCTCGCGTACTCTGTACGGTCGTCTACGCTTTGTCTACGCTCGACGCTGCTGAAAAGCGCCCGGTGGTGTCTGGTGATTATGAGGATACATGTGTGGCGCGGCGTATCGCATCAATGTGTGCCGAGCTCTCTATTTGACAGTGGCTCAAGCTAGAAGATTGACCTGGCTCCGGAGTCCGAAGCACAGAAGCTCAGATATCAGAGCCCTAAACCTTGCTACGAGTCCGGTGACCAATGCTAATATTCTTATTGTGTCCAGATTGTGTCAATCTCCACCACCAATGTCGGGACATTTGTATTATCTACCTCCTTGTTAGGTTGAGCTCCCAGGTGGCGGTTGAGTACCGTTCCAGCACATCACAGTAATTCAGAGTTTCCACTATGCTAGATTTAGTAGAAAGCCTTGTAATGCCCCGTTGTCGGAACTGTTTTTTGGCGAACAGACAAAATGTTCATGACCCTACTCAATGAACTCCGTGGGTACTAGTAAACCTAACGCCACGACCATACGCCATACGGGATTGGGTCATATTCTATTTGTACATCAAATCATATTTTTGAGAACGACGAATTGCAAAACTCACAAGAATTCATCAGTGGGTTAGCTGAAGCCCGACGGCATCGTAGTGGTGGTTTGAGAGAGAAGTTGTGTCAACCCGATTATCCGAAACTTCGGGACTCTTTTTGATTTGTCCCCCAACTTCAAAGCCAAACAATGACTCTTTGCCCAATCTTTCCCCCGATTTTCCTCAGCCATGATGAACAAAACTTCTCGCCCACAAGTTGGTATTCTTCAGCAAGAAACGCTTCTTATCAGAACCTCAATCATTAGCGATTGGGTTTCTTGGATTGCACCGATGGGTACTTGAGGAAAAAATGTGGTATCAGTGCTTCTGTTGACGCATATAACGGACATCTGGGTGCGGGGACCATATGAGACGATCATCAAGTTGAGAGGTACGTAGAAGTAATGTTCACTAGTTGTATCTCTCGCTGACGGCCTATTTTTGTCATTTACTTTAGGGTCGTCGTTGACACTCTGGGGTACGTAGGAACGGATCCGTCATGACGCATTGGCACGCTCATATGGTCTGCATCACAGGTGGCGAGGCTTCCAGCCTCCAGACTAACATCCCGGCCGACGCGAAACATATAGACATGTCCTTCAGCTATTGGCATCAGCAAAATACCCGAACAGTTGTAAGGCCATTTCATACCTCAATACCTGTTAGGTAGTACGAAACCCGCTGTACCTGGTTGCGAGCAGGAACGGACTATATAGCAGTATTAAAACTTTTACGAAATCCGGAAAAAGAGCAAGAATCCGTGAGCACGAAACCAGTAGAAAATAACGAATTTGAGTACCTCCTAACGAGTGTCAAGGATGATACCGGAGAGTGAAGCTTGCCGCGAGTTGCGCAGAATGCACCGGGTTTCGAGAGGTTTTAACCGGTTTTGAGGGAGAGTGCCGGATAGCGGAGGTCGCAGCGAGTATCGGAGAATGTTACGAGTACCAGCGAGTGCTAGAGAGAGTAACAGATAGCAGGAAGGGTGACGAAGTCCAGGGTGAGTGTCGGATAGACGAGATTGGCATGCGTTGTTGAGGAGGAGAGCGGTTTCGGAGAATGTATAAGAGTGGGGGGCTTACAACGCGTTGCGTAAGTGTAAAGACCTTTCGTGTAGAATACTGGATAGCGTACCTTTCAATGAGTAGTGAAGCTTTGACTGGAATCTAGAGGGATTAGCAAGAAGCGGCGGCTTCAACGCATAGCGGGTTAGGCAACAAGTACTAACGTATTTCGGGTAGCCCAACATGTTGCTGGAAATGCTACACCAATCACCAATTAGCCATCTCAGGGAAGGGGGACAACGAGTAGAGCAGAAAGCAATTGATTGTACAGAAAGCATGGTATACACATTAGGAGCAAGCAAGCATTCATCGAAAACATTCTACTACGCAGCATTACCACCAGAGCCATTGGGGGCCTCGCCAGACCCTTCACCAGACCCTTCACCAAACCCTTCGCCAGAACTACCAGAGCCATCAGAAGGATCGCTGGAAGGAGGAGGATCGTCGCTGGAGGCTGCAGCTGCGGCTGCCTCTTCAGCATCGACGTCTGCCTCATCTTTGTCCGCCCACGATGCAAGCGTCTTCCTCACTTCGCTGTCCTCGGGGACAACGTTCACCTTCGACTCCTCTCCGAATATCTGTCTAGATAGGACTCATGAGAGATGTACGACGACCAAGTAGGAAAAGCAACTTACTCATTGAGGTATTTGAATGCAAGCACCCGACGCTTAGCAGGGAGGTCGTGTACAGTCTGGAGCATCGGATAATAGAACGTCTTTAGCTCAAATGAGCCGGCTTTGCGGCCCCAATGCTCGGCGTCGGATAACGCAAGCCATATCTACCGATTCATGAGCATCCTAGAAGAGCGAGTAGGAGTAGATTACCTTACCTGGGTAGTAATGTACGCCAAAAAGCGGTCGGAAATCTCGGTGACTCCCAGCTTTTTCGTGTTGCCAGCGCGGGTTGCCTTCTTTTCTCCTTTGCCAAGCGCAGAGCTGGGCGACGTCAGTAAACCGCGGGAGGCCTAGTAGGAGAAACAATGAGAACCAATCTGGGGGAAAGGAAAGACAACTCACGCGTTCGATGAGGAAGCCTCGGAATATAGCCGCTCTTCCATCCCCTGCCGCGTCCAGTTTCAATCTTGAGAAATCGTAGAGGAAACCCAGGAATTGT